CCCTAGCCCATCCTTCATCTGTAGCCCCACCACCGAGTATCCCAGCCCCTTTCCTACCTGGAACCCCACCCCCAGGGACCCAAGCCCCTCCCCACAACCCCAGCCCCCACATCTGGAGTCCCATGTCTCCTGCCTACCTGGAGGGTGCAGCCAAAGACCCCAATCATGAGCATGGCCAGGGCCAGGTACTCGGCAAGGACATCCCACCAGGGCTTGAGCACACGGAAGGTGCTGGTCGGCTCCGCAAACTGCCGCAGCTCCGCCACTGGGATCATCCCGCCCCGGGGGACGGGGTGGGATGGGCGAGATGCAGCCACCTCTGGGGGAGGGGGAACAAACAGCAGGTGAACAATGACACAGTTCAATTATTGCCTTGCCTCCCCCCTTCTCTCCCCCCAAATCACTGAATGCAGTCACTGCCGGGGTGGGGGGGATGCAGCAGCCCATGGACAGTAACACTGCCTAGTGATTAGCTTCCTCAGGGCTAAAAGCAGTCACCTCTGGGGTGGATCCCAGCAGCTCCTGGACACTCACAGAGCCCAATGACTACCTCCTGTAGCACTAAATGCAGCCACCTCTGACATGGGAGATAAACAGCAACGCTGAGCAGCAGATAAACAGCAACGCTGCTCAGCATTGGCTCCCCCAGTGCTGAGATGCAGTCACTTCTGGGGTGGGTCACGGCAGCCCATGAACAGTCACAGGGCCCGATGACTCCTGCCTACAGAGCTGGGATGCGGCCATCTCTGGGGCAGGATGCAATGGACCATCGAATTGCCCAGCGATGGTTCATCCATTGTGGAAACGCAGCTACCTCTGGGAGGGATGCAGCTGCCCATGAACACTAATACTGCCTGGTGATTAGTTCCCCAGGGCTAAATGCAGCTGCCTCTTGGGTAGATCCCAGCATCCCTAGCAGTGTTAGCATTGCCTAGTGATTAGCTTCCCCAGGGCTAAATGCAGCTGCCTCTAGGGTGGATCCAGCAGTGCACAAAAATCAATGCAACCAGTAGAAGCTCTTCTGGCATGGAAATGCAGCCACATCTGGGATGGAACCCGGCAGCCCAGCACTGCCCTCCCCAACCCTTCTCCCACACTGAGATGCAGCTGGCTCTGGGTGGGGCACCCTAGCATGACAGCCAGAGGCTGGAGGCAGCTGGGAGCTAGGGCTGGGCCCTGGAAGAGCCTGGGTGGGACTGGTGACTCAAGGCAGAAACTGGGCCGTTTGCCTGGGTTCCTGCCCTGAGTGGGATGTCCAAGCACAACACATGGGGTGGGGGGCAGGGTCCCCCCCAGGCCTGTTTCCCCCCCCCCATAGGCTCTGGGCAGTGGCATGGCTCTTCCCCAGAAGTGGCTGCATCAAGCCAGTTGAGAGGAGTATAGCCAGCCCAGGCCCAGGGTCCAGGGGATTCCTGGCACCATAGCAAAAGCCCATCCTATCTCCCAGGCAAGAAAGGTGGGGGGAGGAGGGGTGGTAGGGCCCTTTGTCTGGATTAGGTTGGGTAGTGGGCCGAGAGCCCAGATACCTGGGTTCTTTTTTGTGGTCTCGGAGGGGGGGCGGGACTGTTGGGTTAGAGCAGGTGGGCCAGAGCTCAGACACCTGGGTTCCCCAGTCCATGGGACCTCCAGGGAGCTACTGCCTCATCCCTGCCTCAGTTTCCCAGCTGTGGGAGCAGGGACCCAGTCCTCCCCTGCTCCGGGCCCTGAAGCTGGATCCGGATCCCTCACACCTGATCAGGAGTCCGGGCCTTACAGGAGAGCAAACGCCCAGCAGGGGGCACTATCCCCCAGCTCTCTCCCTATCCCTGCTTTAACCAGTCAACCCCACTCCCTTCCTAGAGCTGGGGAAAAGGACCCAGGCCCCCCCCCCCCCCTCTGAAAAAAAGCCAGGGTGTTTGGGGTTTCCCCCCCCCAGCTGGAGGGAACCCAGGAGTCCTAGCTCCCTCACCCCTGGGGGCCAATCCTGCCGACACCCCCCCCCCCAGCCACTCCCTCACCTGCCCTGGCGAGGCAGAACCGGTTCCGGCGCCCCCTGCTGGGGCAAATTCAGAGGGCCCCCCACAGGCCCTGGCGTCCTTCTCTTCCTCCCCCTCTGCTGGGGGGGTGGGAATCCGAATCACCCCCTCCTCCCCACCGGGGTAAATCCGGATCATTCCCCTCTCACGGGGGTAAATCCGGATCAGAAGGTGCCCCCCGCACTCACTGGCTCCGCTGCCGCCGCCCGGAGGCGCGGTGAGAGGCGCTCGCACCCCCGGTGCTGCGGATGGACCCGCTCCGGCTCCTGCCCCAGCCCGGCCCGGCCCCCCCACCCCGGGCCTGCGGGGGCGGAACGGGACGAGTCGGGGCAGAGCCGCGGGGGGGCGGGGTTGGGAGGCTCCTGCCTGGACGCCTGAGTTCTCTGCCGGGGGAGCTGGGGCCGGACACCTGGGCTCTTTCTCCTGCTGGGCAGGGGGACTGGGAGGCCGGACGCCTGGGATCTCCCCTCGCGCCGGGCTGAGCGAGGCTGCTGGCCGGACACCTGGTTTCTCTCCTAGGTCGGGGATCTGATGCGTTAGAGCAGGGAACCGGGACCCCGGACACGTGGTTTCTCTGAGGGGCATAAGGGTCTAGTGCGGGGGCTGGGAGCCGGGACTCCTGGGTCTCTCCCACCTCTGGGAGACCCTTCCCCCAGTACTGGCATCCGTGCCCCGAGCTGAAATGCGGCTGCCTCAGGTGAAGGGGATTTCCAGCCCAGGGATCTCTTCGGGCCTCACTCACCTCCCCGGGGTGCGGGTGCTGCCGGGGTGGAGCAGCCCCGGGGCCTCCTCCAGCTCCTAGTTCCACCCCACAGTGGGTGCCTCAAAGTCCGGTTTTGTCCGGGAAACTCGAGCCAGGCCGGGCAGGGGAGGGGATGAGCCCTAGGCCTAGGGGCTCCAGGTACCAGGAGGAGAGGCTGGCAGCCTGGGCGCCCAGGTCCTTCTCTGCTCTGGGGGGGAGTGGGGCCTGCGGGGGCTGGGGACCCGGATGCCTGGGTTCACTCCTGCTCTGGGTGTCTCAGGCTGGAGCTTCAGCCCTCCCCAGATCTCCCTGGCAGGAGCCGACCAGTCGGTGCCTGGTCCCAGATAAGCTGCAGTCAAAGGGAACGCAGGAGTCCGGGTCCCCTGTCCTGCCCCCAGCTCTACCCACTTGTCCCCCCCCTGAGGACTACGGTGCCCCCAACAGGGAGAGAACCGAGGCGCCGGCCCCCCTGTCTGGCTGCCCACGCAGGGGTGACCTCAACCAACCGCACCAGCCCAAGCCCCTAATTAGCTGGAAATAGCCACCCGGCCTTAAAGGGCCGGTGCTCGCCTGCCTCTTGGGTCTGGCAGCTCCCCCGGGGGGCGCCGGCAGGGGGCGCTGTCGCTGCAAGCTGAGATGCCCCAGGGGGTGCTGGGCTCCACTCCAGGGGTGGCTGCATCTCCGCGAGGGGCCTTGAGCTGGGGAGGAACCCAGGTGTCCCAAAGCGGGTGAGGGCTGTAGGCCCAGACCTGTCATCCCCTCACCACCAGGAGGCTGCACTCTTCCCCAAGCAGTGCCCCAGGAAGATCGGGCTCCGCTCGGGTTTCAAACCGGTTCGGCAGCCCCAGCCCCGAGGCAGCCACGTGGCCAAGGGAACGGAGGGAAAGGGGGATTGAGCGGGGGGCGGCGCAGCGCCCCCTGGTGCTGTCTAGCCCAGCCCGGCCTGCCCGACAAATCGAACGGTCTCCCATCCAGACGCCGAACCGGCCCGACCCTGCTTAGCTTCAGCGCTGTTGTCATTGGCCAGGCCCACGCCGGGCGCAGCAGCGCCCCCTTGTGGCGGCACTGACGAGCTACGGCTCCCCCGTGCTGTCCCCCAAGGGCGGGTGTGTGGGGTTTCAGACTCCCCAGTAGATGCCCTACCTGGGGTATTAACCCTCCCCTTCCCAGGGCAGCCTGGGGGAGCAGTTCCCAGTTCAGATCAAAAGGGACCAGGTTGACCTCCCGAGTTCCTCAAGGGGCCCCTGCCTTCCCCTGTCCCTTGCCCCCTGCCCCTCCCCCTTCACCTGGGGAGCCAGGCCTGATACCTCAGGGCCCTGGGTCTGCCCCTGCTGGGGGCAACTGGATCCTGCTGCACTGCCCAGGCCCAGGAAGGGGATTGAGAGTTAGGTGGGGGGTTGAGATGCCCTCCCCTGGTGGTGGAGGAACTCAGGAGTCCAGGGCAGGGCCTGACTGACCAGGGCCCACCCAGTGCCAGACTGAGGGAGCCGGGATCACCAGGGAGACCCCTGACCAGTCCAGGCACCAGCCAGACTCTTCACACTGGGCTAACTGGGGACAATGGACTGGGCAATGTTGGGCAATGCCAATGGGCTGGCACTGGATTCATTGGGTGGCACCAAGGGGAAGTGGATGGATGTGGTGATTTGTTACTGGGGGCACTGGGACTGCTAGGGGTTCCTGGCTGTGCTGGCTGCAGCTGGGGACACTGGTTCTACTGGACAGTATTGAGGGACTCAGGTTTTATGGGCTGGTATTGAAGGGAAGGATTCTGGCTTGACTGGGGGACACTGATTTTATTGGGCCTTACTGGCTGTACTGGGTAGTACTGAGAGATACTGGTTTTCCTGGGAGATATTGGTTTTACTGGGGGTTACTGGCTGTACTGGCAGTATTGGGGGATTCCAGCTTTACTGGGAGATGCGGGTTTTACTGGGGGACACTGGGATCCTAGAAGTCGCTGGCTTCACAGGAGGTCAGTGGTTTTACTGGGCGGGAATGAGAGATAATGGTGTCACTGTGGGTCCCTGGTACAGAGGGGTCATGCCGAGATATGATGGTGTGACGGACCCACCAGCTTGCGACCACCTGATTGGTGCAAAAGGGGGGGTTCTGGCAGCGAAGGGGTTACAGCCCCCAGCCCTGCTCAGTTAAGGGGGAGGGGGTACAACCCTGGGAGAGGGGCGTGACCGGGGCTGTCTGCGGTGTCGTCGCGCCGAGCTGGCTGGCCATTGGCTGTTGGGGGGCGGTCCCTGCATCCCTCCATCCCACCACCCCCAGCAGACAAAGCCCCGCGCGAGGGCAGGTGGAGCCGGCTTGTGCTCGGCGCTGTGCGGAGGTCAGTGCGGCCGGGGGCGGGGGTCGTCCATTGCAGCCTGGTCAGTTTCCGGCTCCGACGGAGGAAGGAACTGATTTATACTGGGAGCCTCTGGTCTCTGCAGGACAGGGCTGGGAGCCGGGGAGACAGATCTATCCCCGTGGCCGCGGCTTTCCTTGAGGGAGCCAAGCGGGATCGGGTCCTGGAGGCACCTGCGGGGCGAGGCGGTGGGGAAGGCGGGGAGGACTGGGTTGGACTGGACGACATGGGAGGGGCGAGCCCTGCCTCAGGGCCAAGAGAAAGGGTTTAACCCTGCGGGGGGGAGGAGTGGGGCATTGTGGGACGGACAGGGGTGGGGGATGGTGGGCTCAGAGAATGGGGCATTGTGGGATTGG